GAAAATTTTGCAACAGTAGAGCATTTTGTACCTGTGGTTGGCAGTGATGCAGGTACAGAACTGATCACAGCAATTTAAGTGATAACACAGTTTGGACTAAAATGTTTTCAGCACATCTGAGCAAAATGCATTGCTTTTGATAAGGGTTCTGACCCAGCCCAAAGAACAGGGGTAGTACATAGATAAATCACTGAGGGAAAAGAGAGTGTAAAATGTTCCAGATTCTATCTTTGCAGAATCTCTTGCCAAATTTCAGTAATTCTGTAAATTGAAGAATGTCAACAGCAATCGAAATTGCAGACAAGAAAGCCAGTTAGTTAACAAGAAATGTGTAAATCTGTTTAACGACATGCTCCGTGCTTCCGAGCTCAATGGAGAAATAAGCAACTTTTCTCAGTGGGAATAATTTAAAGGAAATGGGAAACAAGGATCAGTCTACAGCCTAGCCTTTCAGATCAATATTGGTGATAGCACAAACAAGAATGGAGTATGCTTTTTGTCACTCAGCTCTATGCTTTCTCTGGTAAACACTCAATTTAAGCTTTTTCTACACAAGGATGTATCTTGGATGATACCTGGATGGTTCTTGTAATTTTTTGTAATTTGTAAAGAGTTACAATGTGACTACGGAGTTGGTAGAACAGCATATAAATTTTCAGTTCTAACGCAGTTGAGGATTCTCAAGGTAGTAATTAATTTCATCTTTTTCATTTTCTTATTGCAGTGTCTGGTAAGTGAATACGAGCTTACTGGTAAATCCTAAACTACTCATTTTAGCGAGTGATTGCTAGTCATGCAGACCATACTAGATAGGGAAAAGAAAGATTTCAGGGAATATATTTAATACATGACTCTGCCAGTGTACAGTGATAATCAAAATACTAAATAATGGTCTTAAAACACAAGTGTCCTTGTGCAGTAGCAAAAAATGGCTTTTTCTGCTTGCACAGTATAAGTGTATGGTGGATCAAGAGAAAACTACTAAGGAACATCTGGTATACAGGCATAATTTCTGTTGATGTCACCCATATCCCTGTTTGGTAGTCAAATATGGTTTGGGTCCTAGAATCTCTTTAAGGCGTGGTTTAATCCCTAAGCCAGTATTACATTATCTGTACAGACGCAGACCTGGAGATGTAGAGTCTATGCAATGAGACTTGAACAAAACTGAAATTGGTTCTTTACTTTTCTCAAAACATGGGGTTTTTTGTTGTTTGTTTTTTTTTTAATGTGTGCCAGGTACAGAGTTAAAAAAATCAGTATCATTTTTCGGGGGTTGTTTTCATTTCAATAGTTTACCTTGTTGCAGGAGAGGGGCAAGAATAGCCACCAAGTGTCCCATTTGTGTCCCTCCAATCTGTCACATATAATGCTTTAAGGTATCATTCCTGCAAATGGTAATTTGAGAGTGTAGGCATACCATATTAATGAAACAGAGTACCTCAGGTGACTGCATAGGTTAGCAGATCTCATTCTGTCCTTGCAGCTGCTGGGGCAAACTCATGGTGCCTTTTCCTATCAAAGGGAATAATTTCTTGCACGAGGAATCATTTCTTCATACCTCTACAAAGCTAGTGTTACAATGTAAAAGATGTAAATCACTATCAGGATTGCTATAATGGATTATATAATATATTATTCTAGACAGGGGGAACTAGTCTTGCTGAGTACTTAGCCTTGCCAAGACAGTAAGAGTAGGTGGGCTGGCAGGTGGGAGTCTGGGGAGCAAAGGAGTTGCATTAAGCTGCATGGAAAACACTAAACATGGCAGGTCAAGGTAATTCACTGGTGGTCTCCACTCCAGAGTGGGCATTGGGATGAACAATATCAAGTCATACTTGATAGATTGTTAACTTTGGGGATCATGCAGGATACACGAAATGATAGTCCTTGAGGATGTTAAAATACAGCAGAGTCTTGAAAGACCAAGAAATTATACTGGTTATTGTATTGTACAGTTCAGTGAGATTGGTGTTGCTTTTGAATGGTTCTTCTTAGCTGTTTACTCAGTAGGTTTTGACCAATAAATACAGGATGAAATGCAAACACCAGTAATAGAAACCTGCGCAGCGTTCCCATGAGATTTGTTGTCATCATTCTTTGTAAGAGAGCGCCTGGGCTACTCTGTCCAGACAGCATCTGCTTCTTCCACACAGGATTTTTTATTTTTGGTTTAGAGTTATTAAACACACAAGATGCCAAAGTACTTGCTGATATGAGAAACAAGTCCCTATTAGTCTGCCTCTCATCTTTTTTCCCCATGTGCTGAATGAGTGAGAGAAGTCTTTTGCTCTTCTTCTTCCTCAAACCATCCAACAGGCAACTCTGCTGCTATCCATGGCTTCGCCAGAAATCTCCGTTTCATTATTCACAGCTTCCATGCTAGTACCAACTTTGGAAAAACACTGTTGAATTTCCTCCTGCTGATATTGTTTCTAACTCCTGGGTAGCAGCAAAAATGCACTGAGGCACTTACCTGCATGTCTTCCAAGTTAAATCGCATTGAATTTATACAGAGGTCAGACTGGGTATTTGCAACTGCTAGAAATTATTTTGAGTGGACGTTACTGTTTGTACGAACTGAATGTAAGTCTCCTTATTCCTCTTGGCATCATGTCTGTTTGAATTAAATATTTTTAAAATACTCCTGAAGGTCCAACTCTCCTAATTTCTTGCAGTTTCTGACCCCATTAGCTGTTGGAAGGAGGGTTAAAAAGATGTTTATTGCACACTTCTTTCGCCAGTGATTTCTTGGGATAAGATTTTTTTTCTATCCATGTTTCCTCTTGAATCAGTAGAAGAGTTTGAAGTGTGTGCTTACCTTGTGACATGGGCACAATCCTGCAAATGTGGTGAACATAATATTTAAGTATCTTAAATAGCTGGCACTTACTTCTGATGCTGCAAAAGCGGGAACGTGGTTGCATATAAGGATGCCATTTTTAATTTCTTACTAGGAGTGCCTGTAGGAGATACGTGTTTTCTGCCAGGTTGGAAACTGTCTCCTGGGTTGGATAGTCATGACACTCCAAGAAGAAAATAGACACCAAGTGGTTACATGTGCAAGCTACTGTATGTATTAAGGAAGCAGCTTAGACAAGTGGTCTCCTGCTCCAGTAGAACAAAGCTGCCGTTACACAAACAGCGCTAACCAGATTATGTACTTAATGAAATATCAGGGCATTTAATGCACAAGTGATTCTTTAAGAAGCAAGCCAGGGATACTGAATTTTAGAGGACATAGTCTGTGCTACACCAAGTCTCTGTTTCATGAATAGCAGTAACTAGCAATACCAAGAAGCCATCAATCTTCATGAGAAATTTAGTGTAAAATTCTGCATCCCTTTGCTGACTCTGCTGCCTCTTGTAACAGTTCCATGTTGTATATGTGTTGCATGCACAGAGGCAGGTGTGAGCAAAAGGGAGACAGGATGGAGATAATAGCTTCTGCTAATCCCCCACTGGCATAATGTCCATTAGGAGTCAGTGATGTAAAGTCGAAACCCTGCTGTGTCTCTTCCCTCAAGGTCACAGAACCAGCTCTGTGTATCCACCAGTCTTTATCCAAGCACAACTTGTTCATCATGGAGACGTGTAACCTGAATGTAAATCTGATCTTTTACTGTATTATTGACTGATGCTATACATCAGTAAGATCTCAGCTCAGTTCCCCTCTCCACTTTCAGATGCCAGTAGGCGTATTGGCAAACCTGATAAGCAGCTAGCTGGGCATGGCTTCAGAGTGCTCCTGCTTCCCAGCATTATGGAAAGGCAGGAAAGACTAAGAGGGTGACCAAGCACTTGCACAGACTTCCAGAATGGCTGTGAAGTCTTCATCCTTACAGATACTCAAAGCCCATCAGAACATGGTCCTGGGCAACTGGCTGTAGGTGGCCCTGCTTAAGCAGAGAGGTTGAACCAGATGACCTCCAGAGGTTCCTTCCAACCTCAGCCATTCTGGGTTTCTGTGAAATTTTTACTACACTTTAATAATCTTATGTGGTTATACACATAGCTGCACTTCCTTCTCTTCCCTCAAAATGAATCTGAGATCCCTGTATTGCATCTTTATGGATACATTTTTCAGAAGGAAAAGTTATGTACCATAGCTCCATTGATTGTGAGTCATGAGAACACTTACATTAAATGGTTTGTAATTTACCCTGTTTAAAAATTTTCTTTAGTTTAGAATTGCCTTTTGGTTGCCATCAGAATTGTTTTGGGTTTTTGCTCAAATTGAAAATACGTTTATGTTATCAAAATGAATGTCATTGTGGGAAAAGGATCAAGCATTGCCAATGTTTTTTATAGCAGTGATACTTGATTTCTTTTGTTGGGCATCCGGTAAACAACGTCAGGAGAGAAAGTATTATTCTAACACATGCACATACGCGCACACGCATACTTGTTTGCCCACGTATTTTGTCCTAAATCCAGGCTATAGTCAATGTTCTTGTGGAACACATCCAGGCCAGGTATGATCAGTACAGTTTGGGATGTCTATTGCTGGTACTTGTCTCCTGTGCAGTTTTCTTTAAGCTAACAATCTCTCAGTAAATACTTCTTATTACCAGGTCCATAAGGCACCCTACAACCAGGGATCTCATCTTCAGTGTACAACTATATCTGGTTTTATGTGAAACGGGAAAGAGAAATATCTAGTATGTTATTTGATCTTTTCACATCAAAACCTTTGAGGTAAAAATAAATATATTTATTTTTCTGAGGTAATATCTCACTCAGAAGAGAGCAATCATGTTCCAGTTTCTCCCTCTTGACCAGCAGATGCTGAAACAGTCTGAAAAGTAGAAGATACTCTAGACTGTGTTTCAGTAAGTCTGTAACATAGTATGAGCTTTTTATTCAGGAAATTCAGTGGGTTCAGAAGCATGGGGCTGGTAGACAAGATCTGCAGTGGATTTTAATATAATGTTTTCATATCAAATGTATCATGTCATTTTATATTGAGTTTACATGCCACATCCTCTTTTTCTTCACAGGGTATATACCCAGTTACTTAGACAAGGATGAGCTATGTGTAGTATGTGGGGACAAAGCCACCGGATATCATTATCGCTGCATCACTTGCGAAGGTTGCAAGGTAAATGGCATGGTGGGAAAGTGGGAATCAGAAATAGCTTTCCAGCTCCTCCATTATACAGACTTCCTGAACTGTGCTGTCATAGAAAAGACAGATTAGAAGTGAATGAGAACATCCAGTACTGATGATAAGCCGTATCTGGCTATGCTGCTGCGCTTCATATGCATAAGGAATGTAGTTGATTTTTGCAGTGTTCGCTTCTAAAAAGAAAACAAGAAATTTAGATTTCTGTAGCTGCTGTTTAACTGTTAGCTTTTACGTTTCCATTGTTTAATGCTTCTTTGGCCATGTTCTCAGTCAATGTACATCAGCATGCTCCCAGCAGCTCCAGTGAAACTTTTTATGCAATAGATTCTGCCTACGGCCATGAAGAGTGTGTAGCAATTAGCAGTGGTCCAGTGCCTCTCATCATCACTGTGAAGAAGCAAAAATCAAGGTCCCTTCCACATGCTTATACAATGGTAATATCTATCACTTTGGGAAGCATTGACACCCAGTTAAAACAGTTTCAAAAAGATCCTTACTTCTTTATCTTAAGCATATTGAAATGTGCTTTCAGCCCTAAATTGCATCCCAAAGCTACATGCAAAATTAGAAAAGAGATTGCTTTGGGCAAGCAAATAAATTAGAAGAAAAAATTGAGCAACACGCTCAGGCACATCTTACATGTTTTCACTGCTATAAATACGCCTGAATAGCTTGAGATCATGTAAGAAAGCTATTCTTTCCTGCAGAAAATAACAAATTATTGTATTTCTAAACAAATAGGACCACACATGTGTTGGACTGGTGTCATGGGACCAAGCCACAAAAGTCATATTCTCTTCATCCCCAAAGTCTGGAATATTTGAGTCTGAGATTTTGGGTTTGGATTGGCTTTAGAGCCCCACATCCCAGTAACTTTTGTGTTGAAGTAGTGCCTTCAGCTGTACAGCATTGTCCTACGTTACATTTATGAAATGCACGAAGAACTAAATATCCTATATACAGCAGATTTGTGGTAATATTCATAATGGTTTTATACACATGCATATGTAATAAGTATGAAAAAATATTTCTATCTGAAAAAACCTTGGGACTGAACAAGGGATTCTTACGCATTTGCATCCCATATACCAGGTGTCAACAATACATAAAATGAGTGAGTATGACTTAATTCAGGTATAATGAGAAGTAAGCTACACTGTGGCATCATAAAATACCTTTTGCTCCCAGCTGAACAGCTATATCTCTTGCCAGTTTTTCTATTAAGGTTTTTGTTGCTCCAACCAAAGTATTTCTCTTTATGTCTACCAAGTATTTTAAAGATACAGCATACAAAATCTACTTTTATCTTCAGGTACAGTTCTTCTGTCTGATGTACAATCTAAAACAATCCTTTGTGCACAAGGAACAGAGCTAACCATTTCCAAACAGTAATTTAACTTCTTTCTCCTATTTCTAGTTGGCTTACAAACTGACCATTTTGTTTTGTTTTGAGTTGTTGTTCTGGCAAATGTATTCATTGTACAAGATGGGGGGGTTTATGTGGACAATTTCAACACATACTTTGGAAGATCTCTCATGAGATCCCACGTGGAATACTGTGTATAGTTCTCGTGTCCCCTACGTAAGAAGACCATGTTGGAGCAAATCCAGAGGAGGGCCACAAAGATGATTAGGGGACTGGAGCACCTCCCGTATGAAGACAGACTGAGAAAGTTGGGGCTGTTCAGCCTGGAGAAGAGAAGGCTGCGTGGAGACCTCATAGCAGCCTTCCAGTATCTGAAGGGGGCCTATAGGGATGCTGGGGAGGGACTCTTCATTAGGGACTGTAGTGATAGGGCAAGGGGTAACGGGTTAAAACTTACTGAAACAGGGGAAGTTTAGATTGGATGTAAGGAGGAAATTCTTTCCTGTGAGGGTGGTGAGGCACTGGAATGGGTTGCCCAGGGAAGTTGTGAATGCTCCATCCCTGGCAGTCTTCAAGGCAAGGTTGGACAGAGCCTTGGGTGATATGGTCTAGTGTGAGGTGTCCCTGCCCATGGGAGTGGTGTTGAAACTGGATGATCTTAAGGTCCTTTCAAACCCAAACCAGTCTATGATTCTGTGATTTTTCAGCAAAGTTGTATGTAATCAATTCTCAATGAATTTGACATTTACTTGATGCTTCCACTCAAAATCACTTTAATTGTGTAACAACATTAATCAAGGCTGACAGCCAAAAATCTGCTTTGGCAAGTGCTTTCATGAACAAAGCATTCTTTTGCATTATTTCTGAAGAGTAAATTGTAAGGAAATTAAACACAAATAAAACAAGGGTGAGTTCTGACATCACTGAAATGTTTCTCTGGACTGTACCCATTGCATCTATTGCTATATAGGTGCATAGTAAAGGAATTTAGGAAAAAGAGTAGTTGCCTTACAATAAAATTTTTTATTTATGTTTATTTATTTATTTATGTTTTATTTTATTAACGAAAATTAACACTTCCATGATGAAGTGTTTGGACAGAGAACAGCTTCCTTATCACATTGTATCTAGAGATGATTAAAGAGGTTTTCTGCAAAAAGTTTCCAAGAAATGCAAAGAAATGGGAAGGTGAAATGTTCTGGTCCCAACACAGATGGTGAAGAGCCTTGTCATTGTAAAACTAGAGCTATGTTAAGTCCCATTCAAGGTTTGGGAAACACTTCCTGAGATTCATCAGAGATTTTTCCATCTCTTGCTGTAACTACAGATTAGCCTGTGTCCTTGGTTGTCCAGAGCCATCTTTGACCCTCAGGGCAGAGGGAGATGGGTTCTGTCTCTAGGAATTCGTCACAAGCTTGAGAGTGAATCCAAATCCAGCAGTTGGGTAGATGAAGGTTTGAGACCTGATCCAAATCTCACGTAAGGGCATCTTGATTGTGATTTTTCTGGATTTTGTCTCAACCCAGTGGATCCCAGTCTTGTGAAGGCTCACACACATGCCTTATGCAACTCATTTTAATTGAGTTTTCATGTCTTATTATTATTAAGGAAGAAAAAGTTGCACTCTTAGCTCAAGTTGTATATGTAAGCTAAAACTCTAATAAGGACAAGGCTCTTTATTATGTTCACTGGAATTAGAAGCTCAAGCTGAAATACAGACTTATCCATACATCTTAATACAACATTCTCTGTTAACAGAAATTACACACTCCTATAAGATTTTACCAGGTATTATTTAACATGATTAAAACCAGAACTTTTGCTTTGTGAAGTGAAGAGACCATTCATTAGATAAAATCCCCACTGAAGAGGCTATTTATTAGGTAAAATCTCACTTGAATTTTGCCATTTTCACTGAAACCAAAGCCATTCACAGTGGCCTCAGTCACACTGGAACCCTGGTCTTTATGTCAAGGCAGTTGCAAGCTGCACTGCTGGATGCAGTCAGTCTCAAACAATGGTGAAACTTGAAATTAAAGTCTACGTTTCTGGTTTACAGCTTGTCTTGTCCACTCTTGCAGAAGTCAATGAGAAAAGTGATGTTGGAATTAGTACCAGGATTATGTCCGTAATGTTCAGACAGAAGTTTTTGCTGATTTCCTTACCTAAGGCCAGGGTCTGTGGGGTATTTGCAAAATTCTTAGTCTTACCCAGATTTGGTTGTTTGGCTGGTTGGTTGGTTGGTTGATTGGGGTTTTTGGCTTCGATGGAAAGAAAGGAGTAGAACTGCTTGTTCTTAATCCTATAGTGGCTCAGACACACCACTGTTCTTACAATTTGCAGAAGCTGCTCTTTAATTAAAAGTATGTATATGTCTCTTAATATCCCTCTAAATTATTATGTAATTTAGAAAGGGGATCAAAATAAACTCTCTAGTTCAAATGCAAAAAAATTCAACACACAGAGACATTATCTCAAGAAGACATGTAGACAGTGTTTGTCCCTCGAGTGTTACTTATGCCTTTACTTACCCAAATGTCTATGTGGTTTTAGTTTTTAGAGAGGAAATGTTTTGTGAAACTCAGATAAGAAATGCCATACACTACAAAATTAGTTTTCCTCTATGAGAGTTTCATGGAATGAAGTATGTTATCTTGCATTCTTAGGTACATTTCTACCAAACCAAAGTGGCTCCCAATTTGAAAAAAAAAAATTGTGCAATGCTAATGCTTTCAAATGTATTTATTTATTGCACTTAGGGTTTTTTTAGAAGAACCATTCAGAAAAACCTCCATCCAACCTACTCCTGTAAATATGAAGGAAAATGTGTGATAGACAAAGTAACAAGAAATCAGTGCCAGGAATGTCGCTTCAAAAAATGTATCTTTGTTGGCATGGCAACAGATTGTAAGTACATTTGTCTGTTTTTCTTTATTTTTTCCTTTTTTAATGTGTGTGTTTGCTTAAAGTATGTTGGGTTTTGAAGCTTGTTAAAGTAGAGCAGAACTGCCAGTACTTTTTTAATAACTTGTAGCGGGGATTTTTGTCCATTGCGTCAAACCACTCTCATAAGGCTGTAATATTTTGTTTACCCTTCTCCAGACTGCACCTTCTCCTGGCCCTACCAGGCTGAGTAACAGTAGGAATGTTCACTCTCTGGAGGAGAGGAGGGAGAAGTACGTCTGAATGGACACTTTGCTTAAGAAAAAAGTATCTTGTTTAGAAAATTCTGGAGGATGTGAAATTGAATGTCATTGTATGAGTCATCCTGCAGTTGTTTGTTTTATTTTTAGCCCTGAAGAAGTTATCTGCTGCAAAGAACTCGACTCTAATTCTGAAGTAATAGAAAATATGGCTGTAAGATTAACCCTTAGGGGGTCATCTTTTTCTGCCACTGCACAGGGATTTATACCAATAACTTCAATTAGCGCAAGTGGGAGGAAGTCATGAGTCCCCCTGTGCATTGATGTTAATGGTTGTTGCTGGCGTAATCCTCTGCAGAAGGATTGACAGGAAATCGGGTCTAATAAACAACAGAAAAGCACTCTAACTTAGTATTTCTCATTGTTAATGTGATGTATAACAGTGCCTTCTGTCTAAAGGGAAATAGAAGAAATAGCACAATTTCATTTTAGGCAGGTAGACTTTCGGGAGAGGGGGTAGGTAACCCTGGGCCACCATTTCATAGTGAGCCCAGTCTGATGCAGCAAGCAGTGGTGAGCATCAGACAGGTAGTGGATGTATGGAGTGAGAAGTTTCTCCGAGGCTGGTGCTGACCTGCAGGCGCCGTTACCATAAAGCTGCTGTGGCCTTTGTGGGCTGCACCCCCTTATAACAGTCAAAGGAGCTATCACTGATCCCAGCAGACAGGCCAACTATTCCCCAACTCAGGAAGGGCTTCTCCCACCTTTGAGTTCAAACATGTGAATGGGAGCATGTAAGTAAGGCTTTTGTTTTGCCTGCCTGCCTGCCCGCCACCAGCTGTGAATCAGAACGGTCCTCCTCTGCCAAAGCGGGCCAGTGAGTTTGAATGGACTACTCACGTTTGCATGGAAAAGGGTATAAAACCTTCCGTGGTGGTCACAGATGTGCAGCCCTGGGACCTGCCTGTCTGGCATCACTGGTAATAGTGGGGAGCAAGGGGAGTGCTACAGAATGTTACCATTTGTAGGGTTTGAGGAAAAGGCCAAAGGCAGATTGTTTCGGATTGTGTCATGCAGCAGGTGATTGAGCCTCCTGTGAATAAGTGTTCCCAATTTCGTAAATCCACGTTACCTTCTGCTGGCTTACAAGAACATTCTACACAATTCAGAGCAGTTAGCATGCTGATACTACTTCAAAGAAAACAAAAGTGTATCTTTCCCATCATGGATTACTGCAAGTCTGTTATGGCAGCACTTTTGAGTCCTTAGAAGGCTTTTATGTATTAATTTTATAGGCAGAATGAGCAACTGAAGGTACTGGCAGTTAACAGAATGTTACCAGAAGGGTAAGTCATTCTTCGCAATCCAGGCATCTGAGAAAATTAAGTTCTTCTGTGTCTCCCTCCAAACTGTGTCAACTGCAGTTCTTACCAAAGTACTTCTTTACTGATCAGTTGAGGTGTTTATAACCATTTACTACCTCAGCCATAGAAAAGACCAAGGTTCAGACAGGCTTAAGAGCTTCCTTCCATTTCTTTATGCTTTTTCGCCTGCTAGTGGTGTTGGATGACAGCAAGAGGTTGGCAAAAAGGAAGCTGATAGAAGAAAATAGAGAGAAGAGACGTCGGGAAGAGCTGCAGAAAACCATTGGGCACAAACCAGAGCCAACAAATGAGGAATGGGAGCTCATCAAAATTGTTACTGAAGCACATGTGGCCACCAACGCACAAGGAAGCCACTGGAAGCAGAAAAGGAAATTTCTGGTAAGGACTGTAGCCTTTTACACTGCTCTTGGAGCCGTATTCCTTTCTTTCTCCTGAACTTTTAACTCCTTCCCAACTTTGGAACACCAAAGACAGTATAACTACCAGTGTATTGATGTTTATGAAAAAGGGATGATTTTTTATAGTTACTGCTTGCTTATTCTTGCCTTGAAGTTCAGGGTTTGATCAGACCACATATTTCAACAGATAAACAGCGTATTGCTAAGTTAAGACTTACTCAGATGGATAATCTTCATGTGCTATTATAAGAAAAAGTAGAATTGTTTCACTCCTGATTGACAACAGTAGCATATTATATATGTATTTAGGGATAATTGTCTTTATTAGGAGCTACTATGCAACATATTCTAAGTCTTAAAACAATCAAAGTGTTAGGAGAAAGCTGATTTTTTTATTAATAACTCATGGTTTTTCATTTCTTACTTGAAAGTGAACATGTTAATTAAAATAAATCTGGCAAAGAAAAATTAATTTCAATGAAAGCAGGATGATACATGCACTATAGCATTGGGATTACAGACTACAAGATTACTTAAATTTTCATTCAGCCTGTAACTAAGGATCAGAAAATAAATGGTGATTTGTGATGCTCAGCCTTAAAAAAAGGATTTATTTGATTCTTCTAAATCGATTTTTAAAGGAAATAAGTACAGAATCCAAGATGCTGATACAGCACAGAAGAGGGATTATAGACCATATTTCAGGAATACCCAAGGGTCTTTAACAGTCTGTGTATAGCTAATCAGATAGAGAATACTCATTTTCTCTAAGCCTAGGCTCCTGCTGCCTCATTCACTATTGGAATCTTGACCTACGGTTCAATTGATTAGAGAAGTTATATATTCAAACCAGCTGATCCCTTTTATAATGATCTGTTAATTCCAGTGGCACTATCTGAGTTTCTCTATGAATTCCATGTTTGTAATAGCGTGCAGTGGGGAAACCACAGCCAGCAAACAATGGCAAAAAGCAACAGAGCGCTTTCCAGTGGTGCTGCACAGCACTGTTTGTGGCACTGATTTTAGCAGACCAAGAAGCAGCTGCAATAGTGTGTTTGGTTGCTTAGACAGGAGGGCTGTTCTTTGGGTATTGCCTGGTTCAGGATAAAGCCTGGGCAGCTTGACACTGGGGCTGGGAATGAATACACTGGACCACATAAAATGTTCTCACTGAGGGACTTCAGGCTCTGAAAACAATCACAGCAGAGGGGAAGCCTCCGGCAAAGGGTGCCCAGAGGCAGAGCATGAGGTGAAGCGATGACAGAGCTATTGAGAGAAGGGATGGAGCAGATGCAGGAAGGGTAGTTGTAATGGGCAGTTCAGAAACCAGCTGTGACTTCCACAGGTGGTTCCTAGGTCAGACCAAACTGTTCTTGGTGCAGCACTCACTGCAGGGCCTCCTAGTTCTTTGCAGTGCTCACATGCTGAAGCCCAGTGGTTTCAAGGCAAGCATGCAAAGCTTGCTGACACATTGCAGTGAACACAGAAGGAAAAGTCCATGATGGTATACCAGCCCCAGGTGGAGGACTTTGAAAGCCCCAGCCACAAGCTCCTGAAGAACAATAGGAGCTGACTTGCATGTCCCAGGAGCTGTGGGTTGGTCCTTAGGCAGTTGAGGCTGATACTTCAACAGCAGGAGCTCCTTTGAGGTCTGGACCTCTTTTCTTACTGAGGTGAGTTACGTGGCAAGGGTCCTCCAGCTGCATGCCCTTCTGGAGTGTATTAGCTTTAGCTAGCAATCCTGACTTCTTTTGCCTTTCCCAAGAAAATGCTGAGTTCTTTTATTCCCTAACAATGTTATGCATGTTTTTAAGCATTTGGTCTTCTTGCTTGGAAGTTCTGAAGGTTATTTATCATGAGCACACAGACAATCTGGTTTAGTTTCCCAAGATTCAGGGAGGGGAGGACCTACAACTGGGATTATTTTAGTTTCTTACTGGGACCCATCAGATAATTGAGCCCAGTCCTCTTCATTGTTCTTTTACACTTGGAGCTTGCTTTATAAACACATTGCTGAGTTTTTTTCTTGCAAGAAGTTAGATTTGGATTCACATTGGTGACAGAGCTGTGGAATGATCTTTTATGATGTGTTGCTTAACAAAATAGCCGAGCACAAGTTTTTATTATAGATAGCACTTTCAGCACCTCCCCTGTTCAAGTGCCCTTATATAAATGTCAAGAAGTCTTAAAAGCCACTTTCTCTGGGTTTTATCCAGTTTTGGCTCTCTGATGTGAACAAAATTAAACCTCTGCATGGCGGCTGGCAGGTCTTTTACAACCACAAAGTCACACTTAGGGAACAGAACAGCTTTGATATGCATGTTTTTAAAATACACAGGAGCATTGATGCGCTGTCATAAAAATCAGGTGAACAAGTTCAAGTGAGTTGGAATAGAGAAACACTCATCGCATTCTGCTTGAAACTATTTCATTGTATATCCCTATGGGATTAATTCTTTTTTCAGCTTTTGGAGAAACCTTGGGCTGAAGTCATGCAGAAGGTGATTTTCAACCAAAATTTTACCCAGACAAGCTCAAATTCTAGTCACTTTATCCCGACTGACTTTGTGTTAGACAGTTCTTAGTCATCAGTTGGTTTAGCCTAGTTTTGGAAACAGGCCCTAGCAGCTGCCTGGAGCTCTGTGATGCCAGGCAATCTGTTCTGGTAAGGATTTCAGAACTTCGAGTATGTGAAGAGCCCAATTCTGCAGAGCTGTTAGCAACTTCTCAGGAATAATAAGCCACCTCAGCTCCCTTTTCTTCTAGAGAAACTTGAGAGTTCTCAGCACCTGTAAGAACCAAGAACAAGCCTACATTTTTAAGTAAAAAAAAAATTTGCATATAAGCTATACCCACAAAATACTCAGATACAGGCACAAGGAAGAAACTGCATGTGCACACTGTTGCAGCTGCCCACACAGGATGGGTCGCGGTGTTCTACACGCCCATCTCTCTGCAGTCACCTCTTTCACAAATGCCTTACAGACAAAAGGTGGCATAATGGGCATTACTTACAAAACAAACTGTGGTATTTTGCATTTCAGTGTAGCTTCCATTGCCAAGCCGGACTTTCTAGCATCTAAAATAGTTGCTGTAAGAGAGATTGTTCCTTTAAATATATCTGTTTATATCCTTAGCCAGAAGATATTGGTCAGGCACCAATAGTTAATGCCCCAGAAGGTGGGAAAGTGGATTTAGAAGCCTTCAGCCAGTTTACAAAAATTATCACACCAGCGATTACAAGAGTGGTGGATTTTGCCAAAAAGTTGCCTATGTTTTGTGAGGTAAGAAGACTTCCTTGCACTCCTCATGTATATACCTGTTGTTAAAAACTATCCGAAATCTTCCTGGCACAGAACTAAAAAAATCACTGTGTTTAAGATGAGTAAAGTTAAAGAGACTTGACATAGATGGGACTAGAATCATGTGGAATTTTATGGGTTTTCTTTTTCCTGTGATTACTGAAGTCCTGATTTTGTTCATGTAGAAGTTGTTGTGGTTCATTAGGAACTCAAATGTGTCTTTAGAGGCAGCCTTGAACAGAACAGATGAACAAAAAGCAACTGTCTAGAAGCATCTTTGAATTGTTTAATCAGATCTCCCAGCACACAGTTCCCTCTGTGCCTTATGACTCCTTGGCCGGTACGGTATAGTGGAGTGAGGTCTACATGGTAACAAATCCTTCAAATTCAGAAAGCATCCATATCAAGGAATAGCACTTGCCTCATTGTGTTACCTAGGAATGCTTTTCCTAAACAGGGAAGTTATGCATAAAAGAGTCTGTAAAAGTAATGGAATGTCATTACAGGTAGATACTAACATGTAAAATACACAGTAAATAGACTTAAGTAGACTTAATTGCACGTTAGGAATACAGAGGCACTAGGCTGATACTGAGCTATCGTTTTATTGAAGGACCAGGCACAATGGTGATGATATTTTTTTCCTGAGTTAAAAAATGTATTGGAACTGCAAACTGGAATAATATTTCAGTCTTAGTAATCTTAATGACATTTTAACATGGAAATATCCCCAGTCCAGCCATGGAAGAATGCCTGCTTGCTTGCCCACCATGCAGAGCAGCACTTGACTCTGCTGGTAAAATGCCAGTGGTGAATTATATTCAAAATGGGAGTGACCATGGTCAATGAACATTTGGCTTCCTAACTCAGGAACAGTGTTTCTTCTTCACAAGTAAACATCACTCAGGAAGGAAGTTTAAGGCAACCATAGCATTTTACTCTTCTGTGGCTGGCAGCTTTCCTTTAAGGTCAGTCAAGGAAAGCTATTTATGTCCTCTGGCACCTACAGCACAAGAAGAGGTAAATATCAATAGCTGGCATAGTGTAAATAGCTCTCCCTGGCTAACCTCGGCATTGGCTCCATCAGACAAGTTAAATAGCTCTCCCTGGCTAACCTCAGCATTGGCTCCATCAGCCAAGAAAGCATGAAGTAATGGCCAAGCATGAAGATTTTAAAATGCAGGGAATGTGTCCATAGATCAAGAGGCTACTGCAGCATTCAGTGTCTGAGGGAATTTGTCTCCTCTGATTTGGCATTTGTTGGTGGGAAGTAGCAGTTGATATGCCTGTTATTTTTCCATATACAGCAAGGTGTGATAGCAGAGTGAGGGACAACTTGTGAACACAAAGGAGTAGGACAGCTCTCATCCGAGTTGTCATATAGATCCTGCTGTAGCATAAAGAAAACAACAATGTTTGCTCCTTTTTGAAGTGGGCAAGCAAAGGGCAGGAAACTGAGGTGCTCAGCTCAGTTCCATGGGGCTGCAGTTACAAGTGTGATGGCTGCCAATATGTCCTGCAGGGGTGAGCACCTCAGGCTCCTGCCTTTTGCTTTTTCTCCCTGCAGAGAGGAAAGGAAAGGACAACATGTGACAAATAATCAGTCACGTTTGTTGACTTCTCTCCTGGAAGGTGCGCTGGTGGTAGCAATGCTCAATTGATGACCGTAGATAGCATTAAAACCTGCATAGCTGGGAACAAAACTGGCGCTCATCCCCCTGTCTTTGGTGACTGCTGCTACTGGCAAATAAGACTGGACACTTGGCATTGTGTCCCATATATTCTTCAGAATTAGGAAAGCAGATGAATGACAGGCATAGTCAGAGCACCATGATCATAAAGAAGTTCTAAGAAGGTTCAAGTAGGAAGAGAAATTCTCATTGGTTTTAAGTTACTAAAAAAACATCTAAAGCATCATGAAATACCTTCCATGTTGTTGTCTCTTTTCCACCATTCTTCCTTCTCCTTATTTTTATTCTTAAGGTCTCTTTTCTTTTTCCTTCGCATATGCTTTCTCTCTCCTCTCCCTTCCCCTTCTCGTCCTTTGCCTCCCTTTTCTTCCCCTTTTATTTAATTTTATTTAATGTTATTTCATTTCTTACTCTGTTTCTTTCCCTAATTCAGTCTCAGCAGCCACACAATGGCACTGTCATTGGGTAGTGAGACTTCCACTGTGCCTGTGCAGCCTTCCATACACTGCTGCTGAGCTGAGAGCAATCAGCAGAGAAGGTGATTTGCCCTGAACAGGATGAGTCATTTTTCTTGTGTACCAAACACTTCACACCTGAAGTTGGCATTGCTGGAAAAATAGCTGCATGATTCAACTCCTTTAACTGACTGTGGCTAGCTTTGTGCTTAAAACTGTTCTCTAAAAGGGAACAGCCTTCCACTTGAGTTAGAGAGCTGTCTGGCATCCACTCTGCACCATTTTACACCAAATCAGTGTACTTGCTTTGCGAGTACACAGTTGCCATGTAAACCTGTAATTGGTGAGGATTTTTTCATTTTGATTTGTGAAACGGGTAAATATAATAACTTTGTGTGAATCAGAAATTGATGGATTTTTGCCTCCCTTCAAGCCAAGTAGAAATGAGTTGCTTTTTCATCTATGTGACCATTGCTGTTTGAGACTGTTAGAGGCAGTCTCAAAATAGTCTTGTGGGTTTTGCTATCATTAAATTACCTATGAAAACATAAAGACATGATTTACAGAATGTGTCTGCATCCTGGTAGTACTTTATAAATACAGGACCTATTTCCACCAGTTCAGACAGCTTACCTTTCTTGACGTTGTGGAAAAGACATGTCTAGCCACATGCCCTGAAGATCGTGCCTTATGCACTAGTGTAAAAGCTGAAGTTAAACCATAGATTTTCTGTCTGTCCAGCAATAATATGGGGACCCTAGGGAGATCAGCCTTACTGCGCTAAAATATAGCTTAAATTTTCTGTTGTTCAAATGGGCAGTGAGAATTAGAGTACCTGCCCTATTCAGTGATTGAGGTATCTGTCCTAGAGACAAAAATTTATTTCACTCCTTTTAATTAAAAAGCTGTTCACTCTTACAGGCCCTTCCAAATGTCTGGTTTTAACTCTGGCCAGGTAAAAAATAAGCATGGCTGGCTGTGAGTTTAACTGGGATGGCTGAGGTCTGTACCAGCTCCAATTGTACTTTATTCTGTTATGCTATGCTTTAAGCTGAAGGAGTTCAGGAGTAGAAGAGAGAAAGGAAAACAGCTGAGAACAGTGACCCCTTCAGCCATCTCAGTGAGATCCACCCCTGATGGGAGACAAAACCAATAGTATATGTTACCACTAACCTGGCACCTGACAGGTCTGCTTCTCCATTCACACTTCGTTAAATTTTCTGCAAAATGGAAAGCTACATTCTTAAGGTTTATTTGGTTTAATTTTATAATGCTCCCACAAACTGACTGGTCCAACAGAGAGCAGCACATCTGCAAATTGGGTCACTTCATCTCAGCATCTGAAACAGCTTGATTTGCCTGGAGTATCTTGTCCAGGACCACTTGCCTATAGCTGTGTCATCACTGAAGTTCCTAATGGTGTGGGGGCGTGTTAACCTGCTGGCAGAGTCTGAAAGCAGAAGTATGAGTCTTGAAGGTCTGCATGGTGCAGTCAGTCAGCAATGTGTTTGGAGAGTAGCTGCACTATGCAAGGTAGTGTCCTGGGGAGTGACCCACAACTTCATGCTCATGGATTTATTGTAGTTGTAACACCAACTCAGTTTGGAAAACATATCTTTTCCTTTACTGTTTATAATTTCTGCAGCTGCCATGTGAAGACCAGATCATCCTTCTGAAAGGCTGCTGTATGGAGATAATGTCCCTCCGAGCAGCAGTTCGCTATGACCCCGAGAGTGAGACTTTAACACTGAATGGGGAGATGGCGGTGACAAGGGGCCAGCTGAAAAATGGGGGTCTTGGCGTAGTGTCCGATGCCATTTTTGACCTGGGTATGTCTCTTTCTTCATTTAACCTGGATGACACCGAGGTTGCCCTTCTTCAGGCTGTTCTGCTCATGTCATCAGGTGAGAACAGAAATATATTGGGAACCCAACGATTTTGAAACTCTTTAGCCTTTGTCGCAAACCTCTTTTTAAAATAGAGTATGTTAGATCTTGTAGTGCTGACTAGAGTAATGTGGGAGAAATTTTCTCTCAAAAAACCCTTGCAGCTTAGAATTAGTTTACTCAACACTAGGAAAAAAAAATCCAGGATATTCAGAGAGATGGGTATGAAAGTGGCTTTGGTAGCACAGCTTGATCAGTGTAGTACTTAGGGAGGAGGCAGGGATGATCACCAGAAAGAAATCAGATGTGGTTCTGAGTCAATTTCCCTTGAATGAAAACCTGGTAATTTAGCAATAGTTGTCCTTACAGTAAGTTCCTTCTTCCCCTATGTGCTGTCATGCACTGGGCGGGATGTACAGTTTACACCTATTTCCATCAGTGCTCATATGCTTTTGCATATGAGCAAGATGACTCTCATACGCCATCTTGCACCACTTGCTTTTGGACATTTGAGAGCTGTGCCATTTCCCCATGCAGACCGCAACTGGTCTCTTGGTGTTGTAATACAGAAGCAGCACATTTCATATGATTTCCAAAGTGTTTCTAACCTTCTCGAGTATGTGTTCAAATATGCTTCCATTGACTGTGCCAGCCCAAAGAGGAAATTCCATTCTTGGGCAGTGGCAAGTTTGGTAAGATTTTGGTTTAAGACCACTTTGAATTGAATTGAGCATTGAATAACAATACAAAGACAGGGATTTACAAGCATTGACTGTATCTGAGACAGAAAGATTTCCACATTAATCACAAGAAAGCACTTGACCTTCCCAATCAAAATTTTGATTTTAGTTCCCTATGCCGTGGTACATGAGTAGGGGATTCAGAAGGACCTGCTTTCAGTTCAGTTCAGAGGACCTGCTTTCACAAAAGTGTCTTCTGAAGAGTGACTTGTGAACGAACCTTTCCCAGCGCCCATCTGGGTGCCAGTTGAGACAATCAGGCAGACTTTTGATGGCGTTGTTCCTTGATGCTCCATAAGAGTTTCCTTTGCAGCTTTCCAACTGTGAGACACTGGCACAGGTTGCCCAGAGAAGCTGTGGCTGCCCCGTCCCTGGCAGTGTTCAAGGCCAGGTTGGACAGGGCTTGAAGCAACCTGGTCTAGTGGAAGGTGTCCCTGCCCATGGCGAGGGGTTAGAACAAGATGATCTTTGAGGTCCCTACCAACCCAAACCGTTCTGTGATTGACCTGTGGATCAAAGCTTGACCAAAGCACTGGTCATGCTGTAGAGAAACAGATATGAAAGAACTGTGATTTAGATATCTGGCAGGGAAAATATTTTGATTCTTTATTAGTTGTTTCATAGAAAGGTATAGATAGAAGCCTTAGCTGAGATCAGGGGTCTGTTGCTGTAGTCACTGTAAGGAAACTTCCCAAACATATATACTCTCTATGGACAAAAGATGATGAAAGGATTATCTCCTTGTTTTAATGAGGCTTGTACTGATAAGTGAGGTGTCCAGGGTCAAAGAAGTTATTTGTGGCAGAGCCAGATGTTCTTGGTTCTTCCTTTCTTTCCTAATAACAGAATTGTCCTATTTTTCCTGATTTACAATCAGGAATTTGTTAAAGTAGATAAGAAATAACAGTAACTGCTTCTTTGTATCTACAGATCGCCCAGGCCTTGTTTGTGTCGAGAGGATTGAGAAGTGTCAAGAGGGTTTCCTCCTGGCATTTGAACACTACATTAATTACAGAAAACACCATGTTGCACACTTTTGGCCAAAACTGCTGATGAAAGTGACAGACCTGCGAATGATTGGAGCATGCCATGCCAGCCGCTTCCTGCACATGAAGGTGGAGTGCCCCACAGAACTCTTCCCTCCATTGTTCCTGGAAGTGTTTGAGGATTAGAGACTGGAGCAGTTCTCCACACCCCCATCACACTACTGGCTGTCATTTCATCCTGTTGTCCATCTCTTCTCACCTCTGTTTGTTCTTCTTCTTTCATCTCTTATGTTTCTTGAGGTGGGGTTGGGTTTTCATTCAGTTTTTCTTCTGGGGTTACTGGGGGCAGTTGTATGCACATGGATGAAAACATCCCTTTAACGCAAGTACTTGTGACTTTTAACTATTGCAATTTGTTCTTTGGTCCTTTGATGTGAATGCTTTGACAGCTTAACAGTGAAAATACAAACAAACCAGTCTCATTCACCAGCACTAGCGTGGTCACCAGCTCACACATATCATTGCTTGGAAACTATGGGAGAGAAATTGAAGTGGCAGAAAATAAATTGGCTTCCAAGGTAAAACAACTATTGTTAATTTGACCCTGACAATTCTGTCTAGTATTACCTCATTTTGTAGGTCACAAGTGACCTGAGATGACAATTTCTAGTCTTCATGGTTTTTCCTATTGTAACAATCACCATTATGATCTAAGATCTCCATCATCATCATAATCACATTATTACTTGAGGATTGTTCCGGCAGATACAGTTTAACAGTGCCTCATAAATCAAATACTTTTATAACACAAATTTAGAAGGGACTGGCTCATTTTTTTCCACGTGTATCAGAAATTAAGATCCTTCAGTTCTTACTACATTTGAACTCCAGGTAACTTCATTGGAAGGTATGTTGGAGAAGGGAGGGGAATATGATCCTCTGAGGTGCTTTTCCTCAGAGTGGAGACATCTGCTTTTTGTGAGGTGTGTGTAAAAATCGTCACTCTGAGGGATAAGGCTCTCTATCAGGATAGCAGGCTTTCCTCGGATATGAATGCTCACAGAATGAGGACAAGGAGAATAAAGTATATGGAGTGACCTTCAGATGGGACAAAAACCAACTGTGTCATTAATGACACTCAAGACTGTGCAGCTTTATTCCAGTAATACAAATAGTGTTGCTTGGCAGTAGTCTTTTGGTGTTTATATATATATATATATAAAGTTTATATGCATGTATATATATAATTTTATATATATATAATTACAAATCATCAGCAGATGTCTTAAACATATTTCCATTGTTTTATCTTTTCTCTCTCTCCTACCCTCTCCTCTGTGTGTGTTGATCAGCCTGGTTCTCCCTCCTTGGTGTCTGTATGACTTTTGTTTGGCTAGGTTCTCTCTTTGAGTCTTTTAATTTATTTCCACTAACTGCACTAACAGGAACCAAACTGAGCAATGGCAGGATGTTCTGCTGCCAAAATCTGCAAGCCAGTACTCAGTCTTGGAATGTTTGGAGACTGGTGATGGGGGCATGATAGGTAGAGGTTCCTCTCTGTCGTACATCTCCATTCAGGGATGTTGTCCCTAGGTTCTATAAACTTGATATTAAACCATTCTCTGAATTTGTATGATACATCAAAAGCATCCTTCTGTTCTTCCTGGGAACCAGAGATTCAGTTCACCTGTTCTGCACTTCCTCATATCCCATGTTCTTTCATGTTGTACATGCATTTGTACCAGTTTCTTTCTCTGCCATTTATTGATACATTTGCCTGGCAAGTCGGTGGGCATTGTTAGGGTGGATGTGTTGACTTTCAAAGCTCATATGGGCCCATACTAAGCCCATATGTTATGTGTTTATCCCCTCATGAAAACATGATACTCAGGAAAATTTGGTGGTGGAACACAATATGTGTGTGTCAGGGGCTGAATTCTTCCCACCCCTCTTTCCCTGCATCATTAATAATGCATTTGCAGTGCTATTGGCTGTGGTTTCAGGGGTGTAGAATCTTGTTCTCCCTGTTCTTTGGTACCATATGCACCTGTGATGAGGTGTAAGCACTGATGTTATCACTTGGGGGGTTGTACCCTTAATTTTGTGAGAACATAAATTACAGTGGGGTGTTTAGGGTTTTTTTGCAGGTAGCAAGGAAGACAGATCACTGGAAATTTGTTCTTAAATGTTTTCTGAAGTTGAAGAACCTCTGTTGTGGGCTGTGTTTACTCCATCTTGAAGCATATGTATTAACAGCATCGGTCTCTATCTAAATTCCTTGTAGAGAACTATTTGTTGGGGGCAAGAAGTTAGAAACTTTCCAGCTTTTTGGAACATGAGACCAGACAATGTGATGAACTTGCATGTACTTGTGCAGAATCTCAGATAAGCAGCATCTGTCATAAAAGCATAGTCAGTAAAGAGTGCAAAATATCTGATTTGGAGGTGGTTTGATAGGGAACTGATAGCACATAGGGAAAGCAAAAAATCAACAGACCCATTACTTGTATCTATACCCACAGTGGCTTGCAAAGAAAAGAGAATTGTGCATGTCCTCTGGAGTTCTATTCTGCCACAGATCTGAGCATGGACTTCCTCATGAAGCCAGTGCAAGTATCTCACCTGTTTGCTAAATGTGATCATGAACTAGTGTACAATCTTTTGACTCTGATATGAATGAGACCCAGGAGAAGACACACCATGTTTCTCCTAGTAGTGCTTGCAATGATCTCACTACAAGATCCATAATGTTTCATATGTTTTTCAGAGCTTCAGTTCCTGGAATTCTGCAGCTGCTTGAGAGGTTCTTTCTGTTATTAAGGTCAATAATTCATACCCTTTGGGCTATAAAGAAAATCAGTAGCCTAGATGTTAAATATTTAGGTTGGAAGTCACTACCTAAAAGTGATTTAGCTCATAACTGTTGCGGCCCTCGTGCCTGGCTTTTGAACACTTGGGATTGTCAGGACTGCATTATTCAAAACATAAATAAAGATCAGAGGTTAGAAAAAAAATGTGAGAGTTACTGGGTTGACTTGGGGAAACAGCAAGAGGAGGAACAACTTGAAGCACCCTGGACAGAACTGCAGCTTGAGACAGTGCTGAGAATTAACACTTTACACACTGACTGCTGTAAAAATCATTGCTTGTATAGAAACTTGTCCCCAGAGCTCTACCATGGCAAGTTATAAAGTTTTAGAACAGCTTGCATAAATGAATGTCTGAATTCAGGCACGTAAGCTGCCTGAGTTAATGGCCTGACTTCCCAAGGTGCTGATGCAGTTTGGAGTTGTGCTTAATCAAGATTCAGAAAATAACCTCCTTAGGTGGTTGCAGATGGACTAAAGTACTGAAAAACAGGCAACCAACTTTGACAGGTTTGGCAGGGCTCTAAGCAGAAAGGACATATGTCAGCATACTTTTCTAGCTTTTTAGATTAAGCTGGAGTCTGGCACTGATTAACAGGGCAGGATTAGTAGTAGTCAATTGGAAACCAAGACCAAGCTCTTAGTTTGACAGATTTGATGTACTGACATCTAATGGCCTCTGATCTCCTACCGGTCTTATTTTGTGTAACTTAATTTACTCCCTCAGTATGATTTATGTGATGATGAGAGCAAATCTAGATCACATGAGGATGTTCTTGAAGATTCTTACCAGTGGATACTGACTGTAGTTCTGCAAAGACATACTTGGTTTTAACCATCTGAGTGGCAGACATCAGTACTGCAGTCAGCACGCTTTGCAGTAGCTGGCTTTCTGAGTAAAATAACAAACACACACTTTCCAGTGCAGTCCCGAGTCTCATTTCTGATGGTGCCACACAACTCTCATGCTTGCTTTGTGGTCTCTGCATTGGTCTCACATAGGAGATTCTTCCTGTCAAACCTTATTGTCACCATTTATAGTTTTGTCCTGAGTAACTCATGCATTTAGATACTTGTTTCATGTGTGATCTCAGTTATGATATTTATAATGACATAAATAGTGTGTGATAATGATTTTTGTTTACATTCTGCCAAAATACAGACCTTAGAGATAGATTTCCAAGGTCCAAAATAACTCTTGAGCAGACTGCTTGCTTCTTCAGAGGCAAGCATCAGAAAAGAGGAAAAAACTGTCAAGAAAGACCATTTATATCAGCAATCTGCCAGGACAGGGCTGTTGATAACAAGCAGAGCATGTCATTGCTAGTGATGTATTTTTATGCTATGGAACTCTAAACTGTATGTGTCATATTGACTTCTTGCTGCATGAATCATAAATTATACAAATCAGTCTTATGGTTTTGAGATGTAGCCAGCATTCCTAAGGCTAAACCTTTTTCACTGGTGGAATTAAACTCCACAACCAAGGAACATACTCCTCTCACTGCGAGAGTAATTGAAAGTGTTCGACATTTATCTTTTCACAAAGGAAGAGGCAACAGGACCTCTTGATGTGTCTTGTTATTGTGATCATCTGGAAATGATTGCCAGACGTTTCCTTTTGATACAGCGATGAAGTGATCTGTATTTAAATTTTATAGAGAGAATTTTATTCTAGTGTGATAGAGATTTATTTTCCATTTAAAAGACTCAAAACTATGTGAGCACGGTGAGGTGTTTTTTTTTACTATGGTATATTTTTGCTTTAAAATTAAAAACAAAAAAAAAAAGGTTTGGCCTTATCACAAAGTTCTAGCATAGATGTTAGCAAATGCAAAGAGTATGCATTATTCGTGTGTATCCACATTGACTGATGTCGCCTTCAAAAAGCAATATTGTGCAGGTAATAAGGTGTTTGTGACTGTCCATTGCACAGTTTACCTTCTTTAAAAGCTAATCTTGTTTATGCACAAGACAATCAAATGTAAATCTACATCAGCACTTGGGTGTAGATTAAATTCATGTAAATTACTGAGCACAATGTAAAACATTAAAAGACACTTTATTTAATTACACATTTATTGTTGGTAAAGATAGTATCAGGGCATGAACTAGCTGACATACTGTAATTTCTTTTTTTCTACTTCCTTCGCACTCTTCAGTTTTAGTTTGCTGATAAATACATCAAATTAGTCATTTGTAATTTTTTGGAAGAGAAGGGTGGTTTGGGTTGTTTATTTGTTGTAATGAAGCTGGTTGGGACGATGTCTTACTTTGTCTATGAGGTTTGTGGGTTTTGCTTATTTGGCTTATTTTTTTTATATCAGTTTCATGCCCTGAGGGTAAAGCAAACATTACACCACACAGTAAAAAACAAAGTACCTTGGATGATGTATTATTTTTGCAAACAGTGTTAAAAGTTATGCTAGATTGGTAATATTTTTTCAGCCTAAAATATATTAAAACAAAATCTGTGATCACAAATGTTTTAAACTATCTAAAGAGAAAATTTGTATATTTGGGGGAAGAAAATAATTTTTACATAGCTTTTGTATGCAGATATTAAAATGTAATTATGAATATAGTGGGCATAGATAACTGTGTAAGCTTGAATTCTAAAAAAAAGAAAAAGCTTATAACTGAGAAGTCCTCCTGGTGTCTCTGTCTCTTTGTTGCAGGCTGTTTTGTCAGCTCTGTCGCACACATCAAGCTGCTGGAATGGGAAAAGTAGGATCCAGAGCAAAATGTTGTATCAGCTATAAGTTGTTCACATTTCTGTCCTTCTGCATCGCTTTCATCATCCACATTGTATCTTACCTGCTCTCCTCCCCTCCCTTGGGCACCCAACCAAAAGTTTTCACTTCCCCGCTGTACACATTAGCCAAAATTACTTCACCCCATTGAATTGACTCTTGACTTATGTCTCATTTGCATTTTTGGAGGGAACGCCCTTTCTTGCCTTCTCCCTTCACAATCCAGAGGGGCATGGTATGACAGGAGCAATAGGCTTCCTGTCTCTTCACACTTTACATGCCTCAGTATCATACCTGTTGGAGAAGCTCTCCTCATTCAGATGTTATCTCAGTTCTCATATTCCTTTGCAGTTTTGATTTCTTCTTCAATTCGTTCATTTCCCTCAGGAAGAAAAGCAAGACCTAGAGTCTGGATCCAAAAT